AAAAAATCATTGAAATGTTTGTGCAAGCAAATCCCAGAAAATTGTAGCTTAAAAGATTTGGTTAAAATGTAGATTGAGTAAATTCTATCTAAAAATTTCAGAAGAAATTTCGTTTATTCGTAAAAATATAATTTTTAATGATGCTGTGATTATTGATTTAGTTAGCTGTGATGGAGTTAAGTGATAAATTTATAAAGTCAAAAAGTTAGTTTTTCAAGCAAAGGAATAATTTTTAGACTCTAAGGTTAGTAACACCCAAAAAAGTAGTCTTTTTGGTGTATTTTTATGGTGAACAAAATAAGTCCAGGTGGGAGAGGGGGGGCAAAAAAAATTTAAAAAGGTATTAATATTTTTTCCAAAAAGGGGTTTTTAAGGGGGGGCACAATGTTGCCAAGGGGGGGGACCAAAAATTTTTTTCTGCGCGCTGAAGCGCGCAATTTGTGCCCCCCCTAAACAAAAGCCCTCGTACGTCCCTGGAAACATTTCCATCTCTATTTGTCACCCAATGAAGCTTACACCACAGTATTAAGAGGAAGTGTCTGATGAGTCAGTATAAAGAAAATTACATAAATAATTTAACACTTGTTATATGGAGGTGTGTTCGGTGTGTCTCATATGACCGAATAGTTTATTTAGTTGAAAAGGGGGTTTTTAAGGGGTGCAAACAAGGGATGGTTTATTAATATTGTTACAGAATATATATCACAATGTTTTTTTATGCACGGAATTGTGTTTGTATTTATATTTGGGCTCTATAATAGCAATTGGGTTAAAGCAAGCAATAGCAATTATTAATTAGCAATTGGAATCAAGAAAAACATGAACAGTGAAGACGATATTTTTAAATTATCTATTTTCGAAATTGGCGACGACATTTATCAAGATAGTCTATTGACATAGTTTATGCAATCAGTCGCGCATTTGCCGACGGATTTCGTCGTTTAAGAAGTACGTTTCCATTGGCGATTAATCCGGAGAATCAAAGGTAAGGTTGAGTTTTTAATTTTAAATGTGTTAAAGTTGTGGATACAGGAGAAAACTTTTTTCTTGTATGCTTTTCGCTAGATCGAATAATTAAATCTTTTTCTGATTGATGCAAATTTCTACATAGACAATGCAACCCGGTCATTTTTGATCTAGCATAAGGCTGGATTGAAATATGAGCAGAAAACTTTGTGAAAGATGGGACGGGCACAAAAACTGCCCCCCCCCCCTACACAAATGCTCTCGTAGGCCCCTGTAATTGTATTGATATATCAACATATCTTGATTTTCTTTAGAATGGCTCCTACAGGCGCTTCAAGGTTTTCCTCCAGGTATAGCTAATGGGTTCCTGGTTAAGCATGGGGTTTCTCCTCGTTCAGATTAGGTTTAATACTGATTCTGGTTAGTTTTCTCCTGGTTTAGGATAGGTTTCTTTCAGGTGTAGGAGTGGTTTACTCCAGGTTTAGGATGGGTTTCCTCCTGGTATAGGATAGGTTTCCTCAAGGTTTAGGAATGGTTTCCTCCTGGTTTAGGATGGGTTTACTCCTGGTTAAGGGTGGGATTTTTCCTGGTTTAGAATGGGTTTAATCCTGATTCAGGTTAGTTTTTCTTCTGGTTTAGGATAGGTTTCATTCAGGTGTAGGATTGGTTTACTCCAGGTTTAGGATGGCTTTCCTCCAGGTATAGGATAGGTTTCCTCAGGGATTAGGAATGGTTTCCTCCTGGTTTAGGATGGGTTTACTCCAGGTTAAGGGTGGGTTTTCTCCTGGTTTAGAATAGGTTTAATCCTGATTTCAAGTAAGATTTCCTCCTGGTTTAGGATAGCTTTCTTCCAGTTGTAGGAGTGGTTTACTCCAGCTTTAAGATGGGTCTCCTCCAGGTTTAGGAATGTTTTCCTACAGGTTTAGGATGGGTTTCTTCCTGATTCAGGTAAGTTTTCCTCCTGGTTTAGGATGGGTTTCTTCCAGGCGTAGGAGTGGTTTACTCCAGGTTTAAGATTGGTTTCATCCAGGTTCAGGATGGTTTTCCTCTTGGTATAGGATGGTATTTACTCCAGATTTAGGATATATTTTCTCCAGGTTTAGGATGACTTCACCCTGATTCAGAATGGGTTTCCTCCTGGTTTAGGATAGGCTTCAACCTGGTTCAGGATGGGTTTCCTCCTGGTTTAGGATGGACTTCCGTCTGGTTCAGGGTGTATTTCCTCCAGGTTAAGGATAGGTTTCCTCCAGGTTTATGATGGGTTTACTCCAGGTTTAGGATGGGGTTTCTCCTAGTTTGGATTGGTTTTCTCCTTGGTGGTTTCGGATGGGTTTCCTCCTGGTTTAGGATGGGTTTCCGTCTGGTTTAGAATTGGTTTCCTCCTCATAATCTTCCGTTTAATTCCTTTCTAAACACTGAAAAATACTTTTTAAAATTCACACTCCAACAAACATCGTTTTGATTATATCCAAAAAGTAAAAAAATATTAAGGATTAAAATCCTCTCTTAAAGTTTTAAAATGTGAAAAAACAAGATCTTTCAAAATCAAAATTGTACCAAATTGTACCAAATTGTATTATATTGTATTATACTTTGTATCATATTGTATTATACTTTGTAACATATTGTTTAATAATTTGTATCATATTGTTTTATACTTTGTATCATATTGTTTTATACTTTGTATCATATTGTATTATACTTTGTATCAAATTGTATTATACTTTGTATCAAATTGTATTATACTTTGTATCAAATTGTATTATACTTTTTAACAAATTGTATTATACTTTGTACCATATTGTTTTATACTTTGTATCATATTGTATTATACTTTGTATCATATTGTATTATACTTTGTAACAAATTGTTTTATTCTTTGTATCATATTGTATTATACCATGTACCATATCCTATTATACTTTGTATCATATTATATTATATTTTGTAGCATATTGCATTATACTTTGTATCATATTATATTATATTTTGTAGCATATTGCATTATACTTTGTACCATATTGTTGATAGTTTTTATCATATTGCATTATACTTTGTACCAAAATGTATTATACTTTGTATCATATTGTATTATACTTTATACCATATAGGATTATACTTTGTACCATATTGTATTATACTTTGTATCATATTGTATTATACTTTGTATCAAATTGTATTATACTTTGTATCATATTGTTTTATGCCATATTGTATTATACTTTGTACCATATTGTATTATACTTTGTATCATATTGTATTATATTTTGTGGCATATTGTATTTTATTTTGTAGCATATTGTATTATACTTTGTATCAAATTGTATTATACTTTGTAACATATTGTATTTTACTTTGTACCATATTGTATTATACTTTGTATCCTATTGTATTATATTTTGTGGCATATTGTATTTTATTTTGTTCCACTTAATCGTCATGTAGATGCCCTACTCCTCCAACCACATCCCCAGGATGTACGTGGTCTCCAGAGGTTCCTAGGCATGATCAACTTCTACCGCCGTTTTTTACCTGGGATTGCAAGAACTCTCCCCCCTCTCACTGATGCCCTAGCTGGAAACCCTCGGGTTCTTAACTGGTCCCAGGAGTTGCAAGACGCCTTTGATAGAGCCAATTCCCCCCTTTCTTCCGCTGTGTCTCTCACACATCCTTCTCCATCCGCCGAGGTGTCACTCGTTACTAATGCATCCAACACACACGTGGGTGCAGCTCTACAACAGAAAGAATCAAGTGGTTGGCGCCCCCTAGCTTTCTTCTCTGCCAAGCTCTCCGCCACACAACAGAGGTACTCCGCATTTGATAGAGAACTCCTAGGAGTGTTTCTTGCTCTCCGCCATTTCCGCTTTGAGTTAGAAGGACGAAAATTTCATATACTGACTGATCATCTTCCCCTAGTATCCGCTCTCTCACGTGTTTCTCCGCCATGGTCCGCCCGCCAGCAACGCCAATTATCCTATATCTCAGAATTCACCAGTGATCTCCGCCATACACCCGGAGCTGCAAAT